TTCTGACTTTTTCGCCTACAATGTCATAGGTGCACACGGCAAGGGAGCCAGTGAAAATGGGGGTAGTGGGTGGGGCGAGTGTGTTGAGTTGACATACCCCATAACTCCATTACAGTAGTAACTGTCCTTTCAACATTACTCATCACACTTAGCCAGTTTATTAACTGTCCATGGTGGGTTGACTGTGGCTGGACACCAGACTCCCATCAGCCACTCTCTCCTTCCACCTCCTCAGCAGGAAGGGGGAAAAAATAGGATAGAAAAGCTTGCTGGTTGGTACAGACAGAGAATCCACTGACCAACTACCATCACAGGGAGAAAATATCTTAATTTGGAGTATCTAATTTAATTTATTGCCAACTAAAAATAGAGAGAAATGGTGAGGAAAAAAGGGACAAAAACTAAAACACCCTCACAACACCCTGGCACAGGGGGAAGGGGAATGTAATCCTTAACAGCTACTCTCTGCTGCTCCTTTACCCCTACAACTTTTCCCCTGCTCTAGTGTGGGTCCTCCACGAGCCACAGTTACTGCCAGAAAACCTGCTCCAGTGAGGGCTTTCCACAGGCTCAGCTTCCCTCAGGGCACTCATATCTGCTGCAGCACGGGATCCTTCAGGGGATGCAGGTGGATATCTGCTGTGCTCTGGACCTCCCTGGGCTGCAGGGGGACAGTCTGTTCCCTGTGATCTTCACCAGGGGCTGCAGGGCAATCTCTGCTCCTCTCTCCTTGAATCGCCTCCGTGTCCTCAGGGTGGTTTCTCTCATGTTTTTTTCTCACTCCTCTCTCTCTCTCTCTCTCACAGCTGCTGTGCAGTGATTTTACCCTTTCCCAAATATCCTTTCCCACAGGTGCCATCAGCTCCTGGCAGAGCTGTCTGGAGCTGGCTGTGTCTGTCAGGTGGTGGCTCCAGCCTCTCTTCCCTGGCAGCCCCCGACTTCCAGGACATTGCCAAGGACACACGAGGCACCATCCCATAGGTTCTGAATTCCTCATTCCTCACTTTAAAGGATAAATTCTTCCAAGGCACTGAATGAAAAAATGTGCTTAAATCTAACTAGATGACACTCCCTGCATTTCTCTTAGTTAAAAGGTGAATTGTCTTAAGGAAAAAAAAGAGATGCTAGCTTAGTCTGAAATCATAAACTCTGACCTTTGATAAAAATGATGTTGTATTTTATAATATTTTCTGTATTTCTCCATACCCTTGATTGCTATCTCCTTCAAAACCTCTTGCAAGACCGTGCATAGATCTGAGTTCAATCAGAAATCTAGAGTTGTCTACACGTCTTTCTCTGGTTTTATGAATAAATGCCATGTTTTCTGTTTTGCAGATCCGTAGCTGTTTTCAATATCATAACACAAGCTGGTTTCTATTTTAGAAACCACTCTTTTGGAATGGTGGTTATCTGCTCTGCTTTCCCTGTCCCCTGCCTCATTCCCTCAGGAGCAAGGTATAAATTATTTCCAACTCATCTGTGGACATTTTTGTTTTTGTATTTCCTAGTGGGACAATAATTACTGTCATATCTTACTTGCTTAATGAAAACTGACATTAATTTTGAAGCTTCTATTTAGGCCATATGTCAGTGTGGATGAGCTTCACTTCTTCCCTTTCTTCTTTCTTTTTTTTTCCCCTTCCTTCCATGAAAAAAAAAAAGTGTTCTCAGACAGACCTAGTTGGAAAGGTTTTTTTTTTCACACACAGTTTTCTTGCTGTCAAGCACTGTCTTCTACAGCCTCTACTTCTTCTTACTGTAGTTTAGAAATAGACGATTCATCTGGGTAGCCTCTCTTTGCATACCAGTTCCCTTTCCTTCCTTAGGACACAATCTCCAATATTAAACATAATTTAGTGCTTCTTTACTTTCAAATATCTAGAACTCCTGTTCAAAATTGAACTTTTCAGTGTAGTCAGTCGTTCTGAAAGGTTGATTTACTTCATTCAACAAAATTTATGCTTTTACATACTTTTACAGAAATAAGAATAAGTAAACCACGTGTTTAACTCCAATTTTGTCTATCCTGTTAATTAAAAAGAATTCAATCAATATAAAGATAACAATAATAAATGAATGGAAAACCTTTATACCAGTCTCTGCTCAGCTAATAGTAATAGTTCAGTTTTGGTTGGGATCAGTGTGAGCCTACAGCATGATTAATACCATAGAAAGAAAAAATGAAAATTGCCAAAAGGGATTCTAGAGCAAAGGTTACTGGTTGTTCAAGTGAAGTGTCTCTTCGACTCCACAGAGAGTAAATCAACCCCTTTTCTCTTTCTCTTCAGTGATATTTAAAAAGAAGAAAAAAACTTCTCCATCCAAAGAAGTGAAAGTAGAAAATATAGAAGATAGATGGCCAATAGCAAAAAAACTAAAGAGTTTGGATTAAGCTATAAAATTTCAATAAAGCCAAGGAAAGTCAGGATCAGTTGCAGAGGTAGAAAAATGGGAAAAGATAAGTTGCAGGAAGAAATTTTAATAGCAAAGGTTATTATATTTTAAGCATATAATTGGATCTCTAAAGCTGTAAAAGCTGTAACTTCTGTGAGTACAGAATCTTTTAAATTGAATTACATTTATAACAAAGTTCTGTTTAAAATAATTATTTCTGAACTTGGCAACCCACAGAAAATGAATAGGACTTTTTCCCCCTCTTCCAATTAAACTAATTGTGAATGTGACCTATGTCCTTATAGATTCATCACAAAGAGTTAAAGGATAAAACTGTGTGTGACTAAGTTTCTCCTGACTTTCTCCTCTTAAAAATACATTTGCCATATTAAAGAGAGTTTTATGATCTTAGTGTTTTCTGACCATCACAGCTGTAACATTAAAGGTTTATATCAATTTATCAGTTTTCTATAATTGCTATACTGAGATGACTCAATATTCACTCCTTATACAGCTTAAAGCCTCTCTGATGGAAACATAATTCTGTGATTCTAATCACCTTCTCCTCCATCTTCATCCCTTCCCCAGGTAATAGATTCTTCTTGCAATAATAATAACAATAATAATAATCCATTCAGGTTTGAGTTTATCCATTTGGTATGTAAGAAACAGCCCTTCATTTAAAAGCAAGCTCTGTGAAGAAAGAAAGCAAAGCATCAGGGTGTTAAAGAACTACTGAGATATCCTCAGAAAAATAACAAGGGATTTACATTGAATTTAATGGAAATTGTACTCCAAAAGCTGTACTTTTGCCTTCTTCACCCTTCAGTGGGCAGCAATTGTCATTTATTTCTGTTTGCCTTGAGATGTGAAAAAGAGTTGAATAGCAAACCCACTGATTTAATTTCTCCAGCTCAGGAGCTATCACAGGCTTTTTCATGTTCTGTTGGGCTTTTTTAGCTTTATTTCTTCAGTGCACATGAATATGAATGATTGAGGAATCTTCACACAGGTGGATGTGCAAAATAAAGGAAATGTAAATGTCTGCATCAGACACGGATTTATAAAGACTGATTTAAATTGCAGTTGCAGGAGCGAGTCATATTAACAGTTATTGCTGTGAGGTCTCATTTGTGTTTTCTCTGTTCATAAGGAACATTTCTTCTTTGAATGGCTCTGCTGCTAAACCATTAACATTTGTCAGATGGCAAGATTAGACTCCTAACAACTTGCAGATGACATTCAGCCAGAGCAAACTCTTTTCAGTTGTTGACAGTTTGTCTAATAGGTGTGTATAGTGCTGACATTTAGACAAGAAAATGCCTGTGAATTCTTACAGAATGTAGCTGAAGCTGGTAAACTTTTCAAGGCTTGTATTTTGGTGGGGTCTCTTTGTGTATGTGCACATTCCTTGTTGTTTGTTTGTAAACTTTCACAGACAGAAAGAATGTGTTCTACTCAGTCTCTCAAAAATGCAGAAATTGCTGATGTATAAGTTAATTTTGAAACCGAATTTTCGAAAGAATGCAATGAATTATTCATGCTGAATGTCTTGCCTCATTTTCTGTTTGCAAATTGTGTTTGCAAAGAAATTGTTCTAATAATATTATTCAGCTCTCTTCTTAAAGTAATTTCAGCCAAAAATTCCTCCTTCTTGTAAACAATTCATTTGAAACTTTTTAGATATGTGAGGTTTAAGCCTGTTTGACTGGAAAGATTACACATATTTCTGCTTTCAGATTGTTCTAAATCAAGCATCTACAGCATTTGTTTAAAATCCATTGGTTTAAAAAATATTTCAGCTAGCAATGTCTTGCTTCCATGTTTGAGTGAAAAAAAAGCCTATAACTAAATCAGGCTCAATTAAAAAGTCCAAATAATAAGGGGAAATATTTACTCAAAATTTATACTGACATTTACTGCAAGAAAATGTCCTCCCCTTTAAAAATGAAATAGCAATATCAGGAGGGAAGATATATTTTCCTCAGTTTTCAGACATTTAATTTTTTCAGTGAGTAATATTAGTAATTTCTGTTGATTTAAAATCCCATAAGAACACTTTCTTTAAGCTCAGGTTTTATAAAGTGCAAATTGTTGCAAAAAAAGAGTAGCAGTTTATTTTTCTCCACAGAAGTGTGTTGATTTGCACATAAAGTAATTGATTATATAGTCAGACAAATACTTATTAACTAGCAATGATCAGATCATAGAATCATAGAATCTCCTGAGTTGGAAGGGACCATCAAAGATCAATAAAGTCCATCTGCTGGCCCATGACAGGAAAGCCCCAAGAGTCATATTGATAACTTGCTTTGTTGTTTTATCTCAACATGGTTTGTAAATTGTTCTTATGAAAGGTGTTTTTGAAATTCAACAGTAAAATTTTTGACCATAATTTTCTTTACTGCTGTGTTTAAAGCTAACTTGGCTTTAGAGAAGCTTTTTTTTTCTTTTTAGCTTTTTTCTCTCTGAACCAATAATTCTAAATATCAGCTTTATCTGGCTGTACAAATGTTCAACCTGTAATTGATATTCTTTTTCCTACTTAGATAATTTTTGCTTTTAATTTCAATAATTTATAACTTTAACACAGGTTTGTAGGGGGAGAAAACACAGGGTGGATAAAAATAAAGGATAAATATAAACAGCTAGGAGTAAACAGACACTTCAGAACCACTTGTGAATTATCAAGGTAATTAATACAAATTATTTGTAGTAGCTAACAACTTATCCTTCCAAAAATCTCTTTTTGGACCATTCTATAGATTTTTCTGAGCTCTGTTCACTGTCATCTCCAGTTACAAGCCAAAATAAATGGTGTTTATAAACATCCATGAATTTATCCTGAAAGCTGATGCTGTTTTTGTGGCCCACTTCTCCATCACAGCAGCAACAGTCTTCTGATGTTCCATACCACAAAATTCAGTATTTTAATTAAAGGGTTTGTAGATAAAGGGAAATGGGAAAATACTTTTTTAAGCATTCTTTTGTGTCAGAAATTAAACTGCAACAATTAAGCTGGTGAATGTAATCAGGACACTGAATTCCAGTTTTATGTCAGAGCTTTGAATCTGTCTGTTAAAATATTTTATATAACTCTCTATGATAGCAGATAAAACCACAACTGTGTAGTTCAAGATTATTTTATAAAAATCCACTTAAAAATCCCCATTTTCACAATAGTTAAGTGAAACTTGCTTTTCAAAGGGAAAGTTTATTAGCAAATAGAATATATTGTGTACTTTTTAGCTGAGCTTTCCTATCCTCTTTCCTTTACAAGTGAAGAAAAAAAATCCTCACTTTTTGCTTCTCATTTTCAGTTTGCTTGGAGAAAAGGTTACTATTTGCGTTCGTGTTGGGTTTTTTCATCAGTCTGTGGCATCATCAAAAACTATTATGTAAAATTATCTCTGCCTGTTCTGTACAAGGCAGAGGAGCCCTGTTACCTCAGCCAGAGGAAAGAATTCAAAAAAAATTGGAGAGACAGTTCTATACATAATGTGATGATTTCTTGAGCTGAGACAAAATTGTTCCGCATTTGGGAAATAATTGCTTGTCACTCTTCTGAGGCACTGAGTCTTTTACTTATTAAATGGGAATTAGGTTTATATTAAACACACAATTTCATCTCCAAATTGTCTTATAACTTGCATCTTAGACATTATAAATTCTTCTAAATCCACCAGTGTTTTGGATTTGTGCTGGCTATTTTTTGCCAGCTGTTCATAACAGATCAGTAGAGGGTCTTAAACCTTAAAATATTTTTGTTTATTGTGTGCATTGAGGTTTTTGTTGTTTCTTTTTAGATGAGAAAACCAAGTTCATCATCCCATAATATCAGTCAGCTGGTGGGTAGGTGCATAATCTAAACAGTGGAGCACTGCAGACACAGATTAAGTGATTTCTTTAAAGCACACAAGATTTGTGACACCTAAGAACTGAATCTTCAATCCTAGAACCAGGTAATGAATCCCATATCATTCTTTGTTTCTCTTAGTTCTCCGAGAAACATTTTTAAAGCTATTAAAGGTTTCGAATTGGATATGTCAGACAAATAAAAATGAAAAACTGAGATCGCTACGAAACTTTTAATGTTATTTCACCCCAAACCTGCTGAAAGGAGCATTGGTACCCCTGGGTGAAATATTTTTCTTTATGAAGGCATTGATTATTCTTATCTGAACCATGTGTCTTGTATAAAAGCTGCTAGCACTAATAATCAGATACCTATGCCTTCAAGAGATGCAAAGATGATGAATATATAGTAAATATCTGAGTTAGGGCTTTCTCTAGCAACTATCTAACTAGTATCAAGAGAAAACAGACTATTTTCCCTCCAGTCTTCTGGTGAGGTTAGTTTTTCCACCAGCTTTCTATTCAATATAGTTACTCCAATAGCAGCAAAATTTTATATGGATTTAAGAAGTGACTTTGTTATTGATTATGCTGAACGAAGTGTGTGACTCTCCATTGCAGTAAGATGTAAAAAATGACAAGGAAATAAAATATGGAGTAGTTATACTGTTTCACTTAAAAATTCCACTTTCTACAAGTCCCAATGAACTAAAATATTTTCATTGAACTACCTAGAAGCAACAGTATTTGAAACAAGTGACCTAAAGGTGCCTTTGCTCTCATATTCTCATATTCTGAATCCAAATCATGTGCCTTTGGCCTTTTCTAGTACCAATACATTAAGCAAGAAATATCTCAAAATGATAATGACTGCATGGGAACATCATCAGTGAGAGGCAATTCTGGGACAATGGTGGAAAAAAACCTTTGTAAACTGACAAAACAGATAAAGTTTTAGTTCTAAAAGAGGTAAAAAAAAAGTTGAATGTTGTTTGTCTTTAACAAAAATAGGGGCTGATCTAATCTATAGTGCAAATGGATATTCACAGCAAAATATGATTTGTTATTGGGGGTGAAAGGTCAGCCAGAAGACCCTTGTGATAAGACCATGCTTGAAAGCTCAGGATACATGTGTTTCTATAGTTTGATTACTTAGAAATGAAACAATTATCAACATATTAAAACAAGGAAGAAGAGGCAAAATTATCATCCATGCAGCAAACTTCAGACTCAAATTAAACACTCAAGTGACATATTCAAACAGTAAGGCAGAAAGACAAAACCCTAGGTCCAACAGCAAGAGTTTCAGAAAACATCTATACTTATGAGGATTGTGTAGTTAAAATCATCATAAAGTAAGTCTAAAACGAGTTAAACAGATCATTATTACTAAAAAAGCAAAATACATTTCCCTTATTCCTCGCCATGCATTTAAAAAGATTAAGCTCCAGTGACAAATGATCAGGGGACCCAAGACAAACCCCAATCATTCTGAGGTATTTTTGCTGTGGGGTGGTGGATTTAGGCACCCCAGTGAGGAATCCAACGCACACCAGGGCTGCTACAAGATGTGAAGGACAATTCAAAGGGTGGCTGAAGGAAGGAAGGGAGGAAGGTAGAAGGAGGATGTGATGTGGGAGAAAGAGTGGCTACTTCTGATAAAACAGGGTTTCGTAGAGCTGAAGGAATAATTTCATTGTCCTTTCTAGTTAAAACATGTGTGTGTAATGGAAGAGCAGTTCCACCACTTAAGGAAGCTGGAAGCTCCGTGTGACACTACTTACACATTCACATTCCACCCCTGAAAGCTGTCATTCCTAAAAAAGTGTAAGTTCTGTTTACTTTGGAAAAAAAAAGAAAGCATGTTTTTATTTTTCTGTTGTAAAGACCAGCGAGTTTTTCCAGTCTTCTCCCTGCTGTTTGGATCTGAACTGTTTTTATTATAAGCCTGATTCTGCTTTTCTGGCCTCTGTGGGGAAACAAAGAAAGGATTATTCTAAGTCTCATCACAGTCTTGGTTGTTTGGCAATGAAATAAAAGCTTTAAATGATTGCCATTTGATCAGTTATATAACTGCTGTTTTCTGTATTCATTCAATTTAATTTGAAATGCAGTTTACAAAATACCAAATGACCATTTGTTCTTGCAAGCCAGTAGAGATCATCAGTAAGAGTTTCTGACGGTTTATGGGGGTTTTCTTTCTAACTCTGTAGGAAAACAATCAAGTTGATGCTTTCCTACCTTAATTTTAATTACTAATAAATCATTTGGCTTGCACATCATGCTCTCCAGCACACATCAATCATCATCTGCTGTCTTCTTCAGGACATGGCTAGAGATACCTCTGCCTTAAAAAAACCCAGTGTCCTCTTGATCTTTAAGACTGATTCTGAGGAGAGATGTCCTAACAAATCTGTCAGCACCTGGCTGTCTTGGATATTCTGTATGAATGGTGATTTCCCCTTTAGTCAAAATGTCTTTAGCCATGACCCTCTAATTATGTGTTAATGTGACCAGAAAAGCAGAGTCTGAGAAAAAAAAAAAGGCAACTCGTTTTTAAAACGTCTTTTTAGTAGAGCCTGGTACAGGATGTGTAGCTTCTATAGCTGGGTACTCAGTAATTTTGGATTTTTCTCTCCCACATGTCTTTGTGAGAGGTTTTAGAATTACATTACCTGAAAAGGTGATACATTTAAAATCAGAATTAAGCTCCTTGGATTGTTCTTCCCCACACCTTTCTTGAACCAATTTTCGAAGTTTCTTGCTCCAAACATATTTACCTTTAAAATTAATATTTTTATATTATTTCCGTAATTTTGAGTGACCAAGGCTATTAACCAGCACTTGGCCAATAGCTGGAATGATTACAGTTTTCTCCCTTGTGCCTTTTCCGGTGTCTCAGATCTGATTTCCTTCCCCAGTCCTTGTTCCTCAGTGAGGTTGGAGGACATGCATTTGTACATGCTGGATCATGCTTGTTGCAGGTAGAGGTTAATTTGCTGGTTCTCTGTTGAGCCTCTGGGAATTTTACTTCTAAATTTATGGGAATAAACCCTGCTAATAAAATTTCAAGGGAAAAGGGATATAGACCTCTCTAGCACAAAGGCTATCTGAGAGTCAATGTGCTTCATTCTGGCATAGGAAGCCTGTGGAGTTTTCAGTGAAAGCCTTAGAATTTTTCTAGGAAATGCTCATTGTATTTTGGATGGTATATTTCGTAAACCAGCCCCCAATAGCAATGTGAAAGGTATTGTGAACAGTTTGACAAACTTTATATGCTATTGGAAATAGTATTGGTGATGGGATGTGCTTGGAACTGATAATGATGGGACATACCACCAATCCCTCCTATAATTGCAAGTTCTACTACTATAAATGGTCTTAAGCTGCCTCACATAACGTTTTTCTTTGTCAGGACTTCCTTTAGATTTATTTTTATCAATAAAGCTATTATTGTGATGAGGTAGCCTTAATTGTTTGCACAGATGATTGCTTATGCACCCAGTTGCAATTGTTCATGTATAATTGTTCATGTACTTTACAGTAATTGCCTTATTTGTGTGCTTTATCTAAATAGCAGTTGTTGAGAGCTGAGTTATTCATTCTGAACTCATCAAGAACTGATCCCTTTCCTTGCCAGCTACTTTGAGAACAGCACGTAAGTTGTGAGCAGCATTTCCTGAAGTGACCAGTACCTCTCATTTTACTATCAGCTTGGGCCTTATTATTTATATCTCCCTGAGGAGCCTGGAAAAAGCTACAGCAGAAAATGCCACTAAACTTGTACCAAGAGGAGATTTCATTATCAGATATCATCTTTCCTAATTCATTTTGTTGGTTGCTTCCCCTCTCAGCTGTATACCAGTTTCCTGTGTGGCTTTGCTGTCTTCTCCACATAAAGTGCTTTTTCAAGCCAGGTATATAGTTTTAACATAGGATGATGTAAAATTTCCCAACATGAGCAACAACCTGGACTGTATTCTTGTTGAGGCACACAGGATGTTTTCTCTAGGTTTAGGAATGCCAAGTTTCAGCCATTTGCTTATAATTACATTAAGAGGGTGAAGACCACGAGATTAGATAACGTAAAATGATTAATTATCTATTTTCTTTTAACTTTAGTTTTTATGTTAAAACATTCATGGACTCAGTCTGGCTCTTGGTGTAGTTGTTAGGAAGTCCTGCTAGTAACAGATTATTTTTGTTTTAATGCTTGGGAGGGAAAGGTCGCCCTAAAAATACAGTAGTCAGAATATGTATCCATGTGTCAAACAAACTATGCTACTGAAGTAAAAAAATATGACAGCATTTTGATAGGAGACTCAGCAGTGTAAAAGAGGAGCCTAATAAATGATCACACACTAAGCAATGTAGTTTTTTACCCTCCCAGTCAAAAAAACCACAAAGAGAATGGAGGGACCACTTTAAGATTCCTTCTTCGTTTCCAGCCTCACTTCCTTCTTTCGCCACTCTCCCTACCCTCATTCAGAGAGGAAAACCAAAATAAATAAATAAATAAATAAATAAGTAAAATTAACCTGACAGAATGAAACTGAAGTTTTATTTAGGAGTGAATTTATTACCTGTCTTTCATTCATTCATCTTTCAGAGCACTTTAAGTCAGTCTACAGCTTGTAAACAAGAGGAATATATTGAATACTGATGGAGACAAGTAATAATTAATTGGTTGAGAAGGGCACATAGATTGTTCATATTTAGAATGAGCTATGGGCCTGTTTGCTCTTTCATTAATTGAAAACTTAATTTAAAGATGCAATTTATTTGGTGCTACTTACATGATCACAATTAAACCACTATAAAGGAATATTTTTGTTTTTGTGGTTGGTTAGGATTTGATTTGTTTGTTTGTTTTTTTTTTTTTCTGAGCAAATATACTTACTGTTACAGTTGATTAGGAAGCATTTTATGTTCTAAGACATCAATGAAAGAAAATGTTTTGGTTTTTTTTGTTTTCCTCTTTCTATCTTGACTTTTTTTCTATGTAGGAACAGAAAAGTCTGATGAGTAGCAGAGCCCTGTCTAACAGGGACCTTTATTCTGGACAATTCTGTGTTCTCTCAATTGACTAAAAAAGGAGGCAAACAAGTTAGTGTAGATGTCAGTGTCTAGAATTCAGATGAGATATACCTTATTTCTAATGTCTAAAAAGAGCAGATGATGTCAAAAAATGGTCTCAGTTTTGTTAGTGTGGTGCTGTTACACCCTATTGCTTTTGGAGGTTTTATTTTGCCATGGACGAAAGGTTATTATCATTAAACATTACCCTTGAAAAGTCCCACAGAGTTGAAAATACCTGAGATTCATTCTTCCTTAACCCTCTTGGTGGTGATGGTTTGTCTTCTCTAACTTCCCTGCTTTTCGTTCCTGTTATATTTTGGTCTTTACGTTTTCATGAAAAGGTAGAACTTCTGTTTTTCTCTAGATGATAATTTGCATTTTAAATGTTTTCAGCATTACCAATTGTATTCTAAATTTCTCAGTATTTTCAATTACATCCTATGAGGAGTGGAAGGAGATAACAAAATTTTTACCATTTTTCAACAGGTTGTACCAAATTTCATAATTACTACCCAACTGGGCAACTCCTCCTCCAAAATCTAGCCTGTGGCAATATTTCCACAGGAAGTCTTGCATAATGCTGAATTGTCCCTATAAGACCAGACAAAAATCTTAAATTCTCTCTGAACTCAATACATATTTCATGAAGAGAACATAGGATAGAACTGGATTTTAAGCAAAACCTGCTTATGAAGCAGAAAGGATGTCAGTTTGCAGAACACCGAGTCTGTTTCTGTCACTTCATTTGAATTCTTATTCCTTTTGAAGTAACATGCAAACAACATTTACAGTCTACAAATGAAATCAATTAAGAAGCAATGAGTGAGACTTGGGTTGTTTACAAAACTAAGAGGCTGTGAGGTTTCAGAGAGAAGTCTAGTTTTCTCCTGGAAGGCACTCAGGCAATAAAAATAAAATAAAAAAAAATAAGATGCAAAATAACAATTAGAGAAAGAAGGGGGAACCCATATCAAATATTAGAATATACTTTTGATTTCCTGTTGGGATGCAGATTAATATTTATTAGTATAAGTTTAGATACTGAAAGGTCTTTTTAATCAAGGTGAGAGGCAATTTTCATTAGCTGATCTGTAAAAATGGATAAATATGCATGAACAAATTAAATATCCAAGTCATAGCAAAATTCTAATAAGGATAAAAAAATATATTGCTCTGTAATCCACCAAAAGAATAACATTGCTTTCCCTCTCAGCTGAAGAGACTGCTAATGCAATGAAGGAAAAAAATTAATTAAAAATCTCTCGTTATATATACATATATATATAAAGAAGGAACTAGATAGCTTATTTTTTGTCTCTTTTTTTTTCATTAGAAAGGAAGAAGAAATTATTCAGGAATAACTTATATAGCCAATGGGGCATTGCACTGGTTAAGATTTATTTTCTAAGCATTATCTCTGCTTACTTGCTGCCTTTCAGCTCCATTCACAGCGAACACACTTTCTTTCTCATTTTAACCCACTGTTTTGTGGTGCTGTTGCTGACAGTACGTGTCAGAGGGCTCTTGGTTTGTCCTTGGAGCAAAGCTATGCACAGAGAAATTGGACCAGTGAACATACCACAATTTATATGTGAACATCATCCATCATGGCTGGGCTTCGTGAACGAAGATTTGGGAAGGGCTCTGCCCACGTTTGTTACAAACACACTGGTGGTTAAAAAGGCCAATAC